TGGGTGGTTTATTTTAGGTATATTTGAGCAAAGCACAATTTGATGAAAACTTTCCTACACTGTGGACAATAAAGCAGGCATAAATATCCCTGAGGAACAAAGCAAGCTCAATAAAGATTAGACATGACTACATCAAAGCTGTTTGTAAAGTCCACGTGGACACCTTCCAAAAAGATGGCTTCTATAGACTGAGAGGAAAAGAAAAAAGAAAAAAAAACAAGCTTACGGTAAGTGTCTAAGGGGGATCTGGTGTGGTCTCCCACCACAGATAGTACAAAGGTCACCAGGCTATTAACAATGTCTGTCCCCAGTCTACTGGGCAGAAAACAGGTTATGCATCCCTTCCTTTGAAGGAGCAGCATGGTGTGTTTAATATTCTATGTAGCCTAGTGCTGATCTGTGAGCATAAGGATCTCTGGGCCTCCCACACTTGCCTCAGATGTTCGAGGCCTTAGGTCAATGCCCAGTACATTGGGATGAAGGGAACCCTGTTGAAAGATTCTAAAGGACCACAGTATGAGGAGAGACGTCGCGAGCCTGCTTTAGAAGACTCGATATTGCAAAACCTTTGTGTTATCTCCAAATAAATCTGCATGGCTTGAACAAGAGTTCGGAACAAGGGTGAGGGGCTGAGCTGCAGCCTTAGATCTAGGGAGGTAAAGGAGCTAGAGGGAACTTTTAGAAAAACCCAAGGAAATGAGTGTGACTCCTCCCTCATTTTCTCTGAAGGCGTCCATTTCTAGGTGATTTCTTAGGTGCTTTTTGTCTCCAGGGTCCCATGTTTTTACTGGCGTCTTTTTCTTTCCTTGGCACTCTGTGGTTTCTGGCAGAGTTGACCTCTCTCCGGGTATCACCTCTGCCTAAAAGCACAGCAGACTCCGGGACAAGACGGAGACACCTACACTCAGGAAAGGCAGGGATTAGTTTCCATACGAGGCGTCCTCTTCTGCGAGGCTCCCATGCTGAATCAGCAAAGATGTGTTCCCCGCGACTCCAGAGACTGGAAGGCTGAGGCCAAAGTCTCTGCAAGGTTCCTTTCTCCCGAGGCCTCTCCCTGTAGCTTACAGACGGCTCTCTTCCCTTCCTGTCTTTTCACGGTTGCCCCTGTTGGTGTCTTTGTTCTATTCTCGTGTGTATGTGGTGAGGTGCGTCATGTTGGTTTGTGTGTGTGCACCTATGCATGCAAGTATCTGTGTACATGTGTTCACATGTATGTGGCAGCCAGAGGACAGTGGCACACAACTTCCTCAGTTGCTTGCCACGTCACTTTTAATGCAGATGTATTTTTGTTGTTCAAGTGTGTGCGTGTGTGTGGTGTCTGTGCACATGTGTATGTTTGTATGCACTCTCACATGTGAGTGCAGGGCTCACAGAACCCAAAAGGGGGTGCCCAGGAGACCTAGAGCTGGAGCTCGCAGGGGAGGGTGAGCAGCCCATTGGGAGCTGGGAACTGAATTCAGGTCGTCCGCTAAAGTAGGGGTGGCTCTAAGTGCTGAGTCAGCTCTCCGGCCTCGTTTTGGTTTTTGAGACAAGATCCCTCACTGAACCTGGAGCTCATCAGTCCAGATAGACAGTCAGTGAGCTCCAGAGATCTACCTGTCTGCTCATTCCTACCCCTCAGTGCTGGAGTTAGAAACCCAGGCTGCCTTCCCCAGTTTTTGCGCGGGTTCTGGGAATTCAAACTCAAGGCACCTCCCCAACTTCTAAACTCATTTCTTCTAAGGACAGCAGTCAGATTGGGTTAGGAGGAACCTAATTTCAATGTGATCGCTTCTTCAAGGCTCCATCTCTGTCCGGTCACACGCTGAGACCGCAGGTGTGGGTTTAGACTCCTTACCCTTCTGGTACTGAAGCCAAGCACATCACAAAGCAGTTTAAGCAACAAGGGGTTCTTTTTGGCTCATGCCTTATGGGAGGGCACACAGTCCATCATGACAGGGCAGGCACGGCAGGGGACGCATGAGACGAGAACCCCTCACATCCCGTCAGAGCAGGATGCAGAGGTCTGGAGCAGGGCAGGCTAGGTCTGCCCAGTGGCCACTTTCTGCTGGTAGCGCCCACCTCCTAGAACAATGCCACCAGTTAGGGACCAAGTATTCAAGAGTCTGAACCTGTGGGGACATTTCACATTCAAGTCAGGGCAGAGCTCATGAATGTCAAGGGTGGGATTAGGGACAATCTAGACAATGGCCCTTGAGGGCCCTAGACATGAGCTTCTCTACAGAACTGCCCTGGTGTGCCCTGAGGAAGGTGGCGGCACAGTGTCCTTCCCACTCAAGAGAATCTCGTTCTTCCGTGACTTTTGTTCCTCTGCCACTATCCAGGCTGATTCCTGTGCCAGCTGGAGTCAGGATCAATGCTGCCCGTCCCCATGAGCCTCCTCCGATTTTTCTAGACTTCACCCTCTGCAGAAGCAGCGTGCCAGTACGTGCCGGTGCGTGGCGGTGCGTGCCGTTGCGTGCCAGTGCGTGCCGGCGACAACTCAGGGCAAAGGAGCCCTAATGGCGCACTGGACCAAGGACTGGAAGGAACGTCTAGGGTTGACACCACATGAGCATATGACCCCAGGGCTTTATTTTTAGCTAGCTTGTGACACGGCGCCTTTCTTTGCCTCCCACCCTCTCTCCGCACCTCACAAAGGTGCAGTCATCTGGTTCAGCAGACAGTGGGTCAACAGAAAAAGTGCAGGCTGAGGGACCCGCCCTGGGGTGACTCACATCTCTGCTGTTTGCTAGTGTGTAGCCTTAATGAGCTTGCCTAATCTCTATGAGCCTTGGTTTTATCGTCTATATCTATAAAGATATAGATATATGATATCTATATAGATATATAGGTATCTATATAGATACAGATATATAGATATCTATATAGATACAGATATATAGATATCTATATAGGTACAGATATATAGATATCTATATAGATATCTATATACAGATTGTGTGTGTGTGTGTGTGTGTGTGTGTGTGTGTGTACAATGTGGTCTATCTCAGTGTCACTGGAAGGAATACTTGAAATCACTATGTTTAAATGTCTTGCCTGGTGTTAGAGTAGAATCATGTCCAGACCAAATTCCCATATTAATGTTCCGGACAATACCTAAGAGGTAATTAGGATTCATTATGGATGGGCATGGTAGCTCATGACCAGAATCCCAGCATTCAGGAGGCTGAGGCAGAAGGATCATGAGTTTGAGGCCAGCCTGGGCTACGTAGTAAGACCATCTCAAAGTGAGAAAAACAAAATCAAAAAACAAAAACAGAGGGTTTGTCATAGTGAACGTAATGAGGCCTCATGAAATCCGACCGCTGTCCTCACAGAGAAAGGGCGCTAGGACATGACAGTACACAGAAACAGTACACAGAAACGGTACGCAGAGACCAGATGAGGACACAGGGGCACAACAGCTACTGCCAAGCCAAAAGGAGAGGCCTCAAGAGAAAACAGCTCTGCCCACAAGTAAAAGAGAATATAATATTTGTTCTTTTTTAAACGGTTTTGTTCTATTTCTGATTATGTGTGGACGTGTCTGTCTGTCTGTCTGTGGACATCAGTTCAGGATCCAGGATGCTCATAGACATCCCATGAAGCTGGAATTTTTGGCCGCTGTGAAGGGATTGAAATCAGATTCTCTGTCAGAGCGCTATGCGTTTTTAATCTCTGAGCCAAGTCGTCAACACTCAGTTTTTAAGTCACCTAGTCTATTCGGTCTTGCTTTCACAGCCTGAGCTCCTAATCCAGTCTGACCACATTGAAGGAAATCTCCCCAAATCTTCCTCAGTTTCCCCCAGGATTACCCAAATAGGAGAAGTGTGGGCCCACTTAGACCAGAACCTCGTTTAAGCCAATGGTATAACACTTCAGAGAACCAGGAATAAGATGAGGGCTGGGGAGATATCATGCAATCATGATGACCTGAGTTCAATTCCCAGTACTCATTTAAAAAAATAAAATAAAATAAAATAAAATAAAATAAAATAAAAGGTGGGCATGGTGGCACATGCCATTAATCCCACCCCTCGGGAGGCAGAGGCAGGTAGATCTCTGTGAGTTCGAGGCCAGCCTGGTCTACAAAGTGAGTTCCAGAACAACCAAAAATGCACAGAGAAACCCTGTCTCAAAAAAAAAAAAAACGAAAACAAAAACAAAAACAAAAAACGAGGGGCTAGAGAGATGGCTCAGTGGTTAAGAGCACTGACTGCTCTTCCAGGGGACCCTGGTTCAATTCCTAGCACCCACATGGCAATTAACAACTGTCTATAACTCCAAGATCTGATAACCTTACACAGACATACAGTTAGGCAAAACATCAATGTACATAAAATGAAGATAAATAAATTAAAAACAACAACAACGAACCAACTGGGTCCAATGATGATGCATTCTTGTGATCTCCATGCTGGGGAGGTGGAGATCAGCCTAGCCCAGAGGCTCTCTAGCCAACCTTCCTAACCTGCAGGGTGATTCTCAGGCCAGCAAGAAACCCTGTCTCAAAACAAAAAGGCGGCTGGTGTCTGAGGGATAACACCGGGGGCCATCCTCTGGCCTGCGCACGCATGTGTGCACACACACACATGTACGCACACACATGTACACACACACATGTACGCACACGCATGTATGCACACACACATGTACGCACACACATGTACACACACACACACACAAAAGGTAAAACAAATGTTGAGAGACTAGAAGACTCGAAGTTCCTTTTTGAGCCATTGGTCGGTATCTACTGGGGTGACAGAAATAGCTCAAGAAAATAATCATCCAGACATACTGCAAGCCCCTCGAACGAGCTCCGTCTTTGACAACTGTCACTGGGAATGTCTCTGACACTTCTCAGTTCCTCCTCTATACGCTGCGGATTTCCCACAGAGCCCTGGGGACAAAGGAACACCCCGTCCAGCAGTGTACCCAAGCGTTTAGGAATTTAGCTCAAGGCCGGTGTTTTTTCATCCCTCCTCCAGCAGTCCAGGGACTCATTTCCACTGCTAAGGTGGAAGAGGAGATAAAAGGATTTATTATCTGCGCATTTTAGGGTCTTCCAAATAAATCTGTTCCTCCCTCTACCCATCCGCACTCCCCCCACAAAAAAAGCTGGACTGAAGTCTGAAAGATAAGTGCATTTTGTTCTCAGGCCAGCTTGTCCGTCTCTGTGGCACGCTCATCCACGCACGACCTCCTTATCAAACGGCTGTCTGCTAACTCACGGAGCAGTAGGGTTCTGGTTCAACACACCTCATGAACCGCAAGTCCCAAGAAGGATGCCTGCCTCGCTCGCCACTAGCATCCCGTGATCACAGGGCACCGTCTGCATCCTCAAACGACTGGCAAAGAAAAACAGAATGAGGTCATCCACGAGATTGGTGAGAGAGCAACAGACATGTAGCTCCAGGAACCCAAAACTGCAGGCCTGCAAACTTAAAGGAAGGGCTTGTTGGGGAAGGTGTGGCTGATCAGAGCCCTCAGTGGTCCCTCTCTGGATTCCCTGGGGTTGGCCACAGTGTGCACAGCCGTAAAGGTTACAAGCTTGTCTGTCATCTGCCGCTAATATCCCCACAGGAAATGTGACAGATTGGAGGCCACGATGCTTGCAGCACAATAGGAAAGGATCTAGAACCTCAAGCCTCTATACATCTTCCCCCTCCCTCGTAGCATGGAAGGTGTTGGCTGCTGGGGGATCAGAGTTGAGGAGAGAATCTACTGAACAATAAATCTGTGGAGAAATCCGTGCCCCCTGAAAGGAAGTGGGGACTGACTCTACTCCTCAAGACTGTGACAGAGCTTACCTTGGGATGCCCTTTGCTGAGAGCAGAGAGGAGAAGGCCTTTGCCAGCTAGGCCTTCAGGGAGTCTAAATTGGGTTGTGGTAGGCTGGCAGAGTTCCTCAAAGATGCCAGGTTCATCCCCCAGGGCCTATAAATGTGAGTTTGGTGGGTTTTTGTTTGGTTGGTTGGTTGGTTGGTTTTGTCTTTAGGAAAATGGGTCTTTGCAATATGATTAAGGACTGTGAGGTGAAGAAGCAGTTACCCCAGGGGATCCAAAGCTGAGAAGGTAAAAGCCCTGAAGACAAAGACTCGTGTCCTTAGACAGAAGTCGAGGGTACCGATCGCTTCACTCATCGCTGTGACTAAGCACCTCATAAAAGCGGCTTCAGGAAGAGGAGGTTTACTCTGGCATCCAGTTGAGAGAGTGCAGTCCACCACAGCAGGAAAGAAAGCATGGCAGCAGGGGTTTGCCACGGTGGCAGCAGAAGCACAACCACATCTCAGGAGCAGTCGGGGACACCAAAAAGACAGAGAGGAGGGGCCCGTTCAGAAAACACAATGTCCACCCAACCCCCCTCCCCCCACTCCCGTCAACCCACTTCCTTCCTCCAGCTAGGCTTGACCTTCCAAAGGTCTCACACTTTCCAAATAATGCCATCGGCAGGGGACCAAGCATTCAAGCGCGTGAGTCTGTGGAGAGCATTTCACGTCCCAAGTCCTCACATGGCCACGGTGGAGGTGATGAGGCCACAAGTGAAGTAATGGCAGATCCCACGCCAGCTGGACCGGATCAAAAGTGGCTCCTTCCCTGGAGGAAACGCAGTTCCGTGGACACAGCCCAAGGAAAGTGATGTCAGACTTCTGTCCTCCAGAGCCGTGAGAGAATCGTTTGAAGACATCAAGCTTGTGTCCTTTTGTCACAGCAGTCCTGGGACGTTGTACACAAGCTGACTGCTGTCTGCTTCAGTGTTAGAACCAGGAGCAAGTGTTGGGCCAGTTTTCTGCCTCAGAGCTGTCAGGACAAGCAATTTAAGAGGGTCAGAGACAGTCCAGGTCCAGGTCAAGAGGGAGCTAGGATGGGCTACTGAGTGCCTGACTGATGGAGCTACCAGAAGGGGCAGAAACCCCACAGGGAGGAACTATAGGTAAGCCACATCAAGAGACTCAGGCCTACCATCCCAGCTACTCGGGAGGATGAGGCAGGAGAATCATGGATTCAAAGCCTGCTGGGGCTACAGAGTGAGTTCCAGACCAGCCCAATGAGACTTTGTTTCAAAAGTGAAAGGGGGCTGGGAGTTCAGGCCAGTGAAAGAGCCTGTTCCTAGCATGGTCAAAGGCCTGGGTTCTAGTCCCAGGACAGGAAGAAGCTGAAGAGAGGCACAAGGAAATAAAGTCTCAAGTGACCACATGGAAGGGGGTCAGAGAAGGGTCAAGGGCAGGTATCTACTTCAGCCAGGCTCCAAGAATGAAACTCTCTTCAATGCCCCCCTCCCTAGGATTGCCCTGGCCCCTTGGCCCCCTGCCTACCTCCAACCTTGCAAACAGGGAAGTGGGAAACAGAGCCAGCCGGGAAAGTCGGAGCAGCCAGCCTCGCCCCTTTCCCATGCAGGCTTCCAGCCCCAAGCAGGCTCAGTTGGAGCGGGGAAGGGAATGAGATGTTACAATTTAGAGTTTTGACTAACATTTTGGCCCAAATACTGAAATTCCAAATTGGGACTGTTTTCCATTTAAAGTGACCATTGGCCAGGCTGTTCCCTAAGAGTTGCAGAAAAGTGTGAGCCTGCCAGGGTTTCCAGCACCGAGCCAAAGAACACGAATTTGGCTGGCTGACTCTTAAAGGAAAATGAAGAACAAAAGCGAAGGTCGCCTTCCAAAGGCTTGGTGACTGGGGCTTGTTCAGCCTGCTGGCTGCACAGAACCCAGTGAAAACATCTCAGCGGCTCAGTGGCGCGGAGAGTAGCCGAGTTCCTGTGAAAGAAAAAAAAATGCAAATTTGTCTTTAGTATCACTTCCAAGCTTCCCGAGCAGAGCCTTTGGCCTGGCATGGCTTGCATTGACGTCAGCCGAGTTCACCATATCAAGGCAGCGGTAGCTCCTGCCTGGCGGAGGCCCCAGGGACAGAAAACACATTGGCTTTGTTTCATGGGAGATTAAAAACATTTGCTGCGTGGGTCATAATTCACAAGCCCTGTTATCACCAGGGCCAGGAATGCTGAACAGAAAAATAAAAAGAAATTAGAAAAAAAAAAAAGTACCGCCCCATATCAAAACCAAGGGGAGGCAGGCCAGGTAGCACTGACCTGCCATTTTAGCTACTTGGGAGTCTGAGGCAGGCAGGTCATGAGTTCAAGGCCAGGCTGGGCTGTGTGCAGAATGTGGTCTCAGTCAGCTTAAACAGCTCGACAAAACAGAAGGTAGGAACGGTGGTGAGTCTTTGCCCCAAGTCATAGAGCCCTGGGTTCAACCTCAGAGTCACAAAAGGAGGGCAGGACACCAGGGAGGCTTCAGAGACAGAGGTCATGACCAGACCTGGACATTTTATCCTTGCCTGCTCTCCTGGAAGGCAATGTGAAAGAATCTAGGCTGCACATGCCAGGGAGCCTGAGACTCATCTGAACACAGTCTCATGCACAGTGCTGCCCTCTCTTCTGAAACCTATGAGGAGGACCAGATGTGGGCAGACTTAGGCTGGGTGAACCCCCCGCCTCTGGACTCCCAGGGAAGGGTCAACAAGGAGGGACAGATGGGTTGGATGGTGGCAACACTGACTGTCACGTGTCCTGTCCTGGGTCATCCACAACAGAGCCCCTTCACCTACTTTGAACTTGGAGCAAATGTGTGTGTGTGTGTGTGTGTGTGTGTGTGTGTGCGTGCACATGCACAAGTGTGTGTTGGTGCATAGAGCCATGCATGCGCACGTGTGTCCTTCTCCGTAACTCTCCCACATCGTTATTTTAAGACAAGGTCTCTTACTGAACCTGGAGCTCACCCTGTCAGCTAAAATGGCTATCCAGCGAGCCCGGGAATCTGCCCATCTCTGGCTCCAAGTCCTGGGGTTACTGCCAGACCCGGATTTTCCCATGGGTGCTGAGGACCCAAACTCAAGTCCTCTGAGTTAATTTACCCACAGTGAACTCTCCCCATCCCTCCAGTGCCTTCTCGGAAGGCCTTGGTAGGTAAAGGCCAGCTAGGACATCAAAAACAAGTCATGGGGGACTGGAGAGATAGCTCACTGGTTAAGAACACTGGCTGATTTTATAGGGGACCCAGGTTCAGTCCCCAGCACTGCCAGGGCAGCCCACAGCCGTCTATTGCTCCAGTTTCAGAGAACTCAGCACCCTCTTCTGACCTTCACGGGTACCAGGCACAGGGACATGTAGGCAAAATGAACAAGCATATAAAATAAAAATTAACTTTTCAATATTTATTTATTTTGGTTTCTTGGGACAGGGTCTCTCTATGTAGTCCTGGTTGTCCTAGCACTCAGCATACAGACCAGGTTGGCCTCAGATTCACAGAGAGTCACCTGCCTCTGCCTCCTGCGTGCTGGGATTAAAGGTGTGCAAAAAAAAAAAATTAGCTTTTTAAAAATTAAAAAATAAACAACAAAAAGGTAAAATCTAGCCTGTTATAGCTGTGCACACATCCATACCTTTAATCCCAGCTCTTGGGAGGCAGAGGCAGGAGGATCTCTGTGAGTCTGAGGCCAGCCTGGTCTACAGAGTGAGTTCCAGGAGAACCAGGAACTTTAAAATTTAAAAAAAAAATGGAAAAAACAAAATTAAACACTCATATACCGAGGTTGTGAAGATCTATGGTAAATTATTGTTGTTAACCCCTGAAGTGCGTAATTTATAAACTAAACTCTCATGGATGCGTGTGGAGGGGAAAACATAGTCTAAGAGGCAGGTTGATCGTACTATGCAGTTTGAGACATCCACGGGGTCTCCATCTCCAGGGGATCAGGGGACTCCCATACCATATTCTTGCTATTTCTGCTGCACTGTGTTTAGCGGGGGTAATTCTCTTCACCCCACTTCCCTTTCTGCAATCTGAGGAAATCTGTTAGGTTGTGAAGACTCTCAGAGTGGGGACTTTCCTTGAGGAAGACAGACCATGGAGAAAGAGCTGGTTTGGTGCTGTTTGTGCAGTGTGTGTGTGTGTGTGTGTGTGTGTGTGTGGTGTGTGTGTGGTATGGGGTTGTGTGTGTGTATGTGTGTGCGTGCAGTGTATGTGTGTGTGTAGTGTGTGTGTATGTGTGTGTATGTGCATGTGTGTGGTATGGTGTGTGTGGTGTGTGTGGTATGGGGTTTTGTGTGTGTGTGTGTGTGCAGTGTATGTATGTGGTATGGTGTGTGTGGTGTATGTATGTGCATGTGTGTGGTGTGTGGTATGGTGTGTGTGGTATATGTGTGGTGTGTGTGTGGTGTGTGTGTGGTATGGGACTGTGTGTGTGTATGTGTGCGTGCAATGTATGTGTGTATGTGTGTGTGTGTGTGTGTGGTGTGGTATGGGGTATGTGTATGTGTGTGTGGTATGTGGTGTGTGTGTTTCACATGCACACATATGTACAGGTACACGCATGTGAGGTAGAAGCAGGATGTCAGGTGTCCCGTTCTACCACTCCATCGCTCTCCGTAGTCCCACGACACAGGGCATCTCAGTGAACCCAGAGCTGTGCTGGTGTCCTGCCAGGCCCTGAGCTCCTCTCCTGTCCATCAGCAGCAGCTGGGTTTACAGACTCAAGTGGCCACACCTGGCTTGTTTATACGGGTGCTGCAGATTCACACATCACAAGCGCTCTTGACCACCGGGCTGTCTCCCCAGCTCTGCCACTGTTCCTCTCACCCCATCCTTTAGGCTCAGCTCTAGGGCCTCGCTTAACTGTGGATCAACCACAAGATTTGGGGGTTTTGTTTGTTTGCTTTTTCGAGACAGGGTTTTCTCTTTGTAGCTATGGCTGTCCTGGAACTCCCTCCGTAGACCAGGCTGGCCTCAAACTCAGAGATCTGCCTGCCTCTGCCATTAAAGGTGGGCGCCACCACACCCAGCTTCCATAGAATTGTTTTAAATGTTAATAAATGCATGCCGGATGACCAAAGAGCAATCTAGGCACTGAACTAAGCAAGAGTTTGTCAACAGCGCAAGTGACCCACGCTCAGCCCCAGGTAAAGCTCTGGTGGTAACCAAGAAAGGGGACTCTGAGGAAATCCAGCCACCGACCATCAGCATGCAGCACACTACCACAATGACTCACATTGGACAACAGCACGATGTTGAGGGTGGTGTGCCAAGGACCAAGGTGGCATCGCTGTTTACAAATGTCCACTGAATCTATTTATTCCTAAGCCAGACTGCCATTATAAATAGGGTACACCTTGGAGTTCCCAGCCTCCAAAGGACAGACACTGTCACGCCACACTGAACAAAGAACGTACAACCAGGCCTGCAGGAGGAGCCGTGCACAGAATCCGTGTTGCGACAGAGCCTCGTGTGGCCAGTGCAGACACCACCTTACCTGTATATGACCCCTCAACAATGATAGCACCTATGCCTCCTATATTGCCTCGCCCCCAATCTTGGGTTTCACGTAGACCAGGCCAGCATACAAATTGTTGTGTAGCTGAGGAGGACCATGAACTTCTGACCCTCCTGCTTTTCCCTCCTGAGGCTTAGATTACAGGTAGCTTCCACCGCACCAGGTTTTATGCAGTATGGAGCGTGGAAGCCAGGGCTTCCCAGGCGTTCGGTAAACACTCTCCCTCTGGGCCACGTCTCAGCCCCTGTGTTAGCTACTGTTCCCTAACAGAAGCCACTTAAGGGAGAAAGGGTTTACCTGGGTTTCCCAGCTTAAGGGGACACTGTTTGTCACAGAAGGGGAGGTGTGGAAGCTGGGCTGCTTGCTATCCATGATGGTGGGAGCTCTCTAAAGAGTTGGTTAGCCACATCTCCAACTATCAGGAAGCAATGGGAGAGGCTGGGGCCAGGAGCCAGCCAGGTCAGGCAATAACCCTCGAAGACCACCTGTCTTCATTCTGCTTCCTCCAGCTGAGTGCCTGTAACCTTGTGATTATGAGGTAGAAAAGTCAAATGTGACATATGGCTAAGTGACCAACTTGGGCCATTATGGAAAGGAAGTAATACATTGCTATATGTGTAAGGGTGTGTGTGTGTGTGTGTGTGACAGAGTCCCACCCTATAGCCCAGCATAGCCTCAAACTCAATGTGTAGCCCCACTGGCCTTGAACTCACAGCAATCCTCCTGTCTTGGTGTCTCAGGTATTACTATATTACTATTACAGGCATGAACCATGCTCAGCGTTTTTGTTCTCTGGGGGAGATGGAAAGTGTGTGTGTGTGTGTGTGTGTGTGTGTGTGCGCGCGCGCGCGCGCGTGTGTACGTGTTTCAAGTGTATGCTGTCATGTGGGTGCTTAGCATAAGACTCAGGTCCTCTGGAAGAGCACTGAGACATCTCTCCAGACCCCAGAAAACATTTTCTGAAAAGACAGTAAAGATGTTAGACTCGGGCTAGAGAGATGGTTCAGTGGTTAAGAGCATTGCCTGCTCTTCCAAAGGTCCTGAGTTCAATTCCAGGCAACCACATGGTGGCTCACAACCATCTGTAATGAAGTCTGGTGCCCTCTTCTGGCCTGCAGACATACACACAGACAGAATATTGTATACATAATAAATAAATAAATATTAAAAAAAGAAAAAATGGGGCTGGAGAGATGGCTCAGAGGTTAAGAGCACTGATTGCTCTTCCAGGGGCCCTGAGTTCAATTCCTAGCAACCACATGGTAGCTCACAATCATCTGAAATGAAATCTGGTGCCCTCTTCTGGCCTGCAGGCACACATGCAGACAGAACACTGTAAACAAAATAAATAAATCTTAAAAAAAAAAAAAGTTAGACTCGCCAGGCCATACGGTTTCTGTGGTGCCCACTGAACACTCGTTACAACACAAAGCAGCCCTTGACAACACACAAAAAAAGCTCTAGAAAATCTTGACTTATGGAACAGGATGTGGCAGGTGGGCGA